AGAGTGTCCCAAATGAGTGTCCCACAGGAGTGTCCCACAAGAGTGTCGCGCAACAGTGTCCCGCAAGAGTGTCTCACAAGAGCGTCCCTTAAGAGTGTCCTGCAAGAGTGTCACGCAACAGTGTCCCACAAGAGTGTCCCACAAGAGTGTCCCACAAGAGTTTCCTACAAGAGTGTTTTAGAAGAGTGTTTTAGAAGAGTGTCCCACAAGAGTGTCCCACAAGAGTGTCCCACAAGAGTGTCCCGCAACAGTGTCCCTTAAGAGTGTCCCACAAGAGTGTCCCGCAACAGTGTCCCACAAGAGTGTCCTACAAGAGCGTCCCACAAGAGCTTCCTACAAGAGTGTCCCACAAGAGTTTCCTACTAGAGTGTCCCACAAGAGTGTCCCGTAAGAGTGTCCCACAAGAGCTTCCTACAAGAGTGTCCCACAAGAGTTTCCTACTAGAGTGTCCCACAAGAGTGTCCCGTAAGAGTGTCCCACAAGAGTTTCCTACAAGAGTGTCCCACAAGAGTGTCCTACAAGAGTGTCATTTGGACATATGTAGCTTTTCGAACGTGTTTGCATTCGGGTTCGTGGGCTCCATCTTGTTTTTTCCCAGGCTCTATGGAACTACTGTTAGCAGTCGAGAGACCAAATTTGAGTGGCTGACAAAGCCGACCTCACATCCAACCTTTCAGGACAAGTGCCTCAAAGATCTCAAAGCTTACTACTTGTTGTTGTTGTTGTTGTTGTTGTTGGCAGTCAGCTCCAGCACCACCACGAGACTGTCATTATTTTTAGTGTTTTGGTTTGAGTGGGTGCATGATGGGCGCGGTGATTTTGTAGTTAGTTTCCCTGGTTCCCCAGGACCTTGTCTAAGGAATGTGTTTTAGATTCTATAGTCTTCGTGTTGGCTTAAGGCCCACTACACACGGTGCAGCTCCGGCGCCACGGTGTAAAACAAAGTGCTTCGCCGTGTTTGCATGTGCACGACGCGCAAATATTGTTCAGGTTTCATCCGTTTTGCGTTTCGGCGTTTCGAAACCCCTGCAATTCAAAACCAGTTTCTCTTCGTATCCATCGAAACGGCACCTAGACTAAAGTAATTATAACGCATCAATCGCAAACTAGATGCGGGGTTAAAATTATCAGCAGCAAGGTGGTTGACCTTTGAGTTTGAAGCGTTTTCTAACATAAACTGCCGTGGTCATGGAGCAGATAATAATATTTTAAGGAAGGGTACTCGTGGCAACATTTGTCTCACTAGCTACTAGAACAATGAAAAACAATGTTGTTAATAGTCGTGGCTACTGATTTCACGAGATCTTTTTTACATTAGTCGTACTGTTCCAAAAGTGTAGCATTAGCTGTATCAGTAGCTGTGCGACGTATGAGAAAAAATATTGGACCCTGCCCACGTGCTCTGCCCTCAAGACAGCTGCCGTCCACTGGCCCTCGACAACCTCTGCGCGGCGCGCCCGGCCTTCTGCGTGACCCTACCAGGCTGGCCAGACCTGGCACCTTCAGGGTGCGCACCAAAAGAATGCCAAAACTGTGAGCGAGAGAGTATTCTACTTCCGGACTGCATGGCAAAACCACCGACCGAGCCTTCAATTCTCTTTCGTTCTTCCTCAGGTGTGGCCTGCGTTCTAGGAGTTGACCGCCAAACAGACGCGAGTAACGCGCCGGCGATTCCGTGGAAGGAAACACAAAAGTGCTTGTTCCAACAGTCCGCCCCACGGTGACCGCAACTTTGGAAGACTTCGCAAGTCTCGGTTTGATTGAACCTTAACCCAGCAGGCCAGAGCACTGGAAAGTCACTCTCTGGTCCAGTACCTACGACACGTGTCTTGATGAAGGGCTATCAAGAATCGAGCTGGCTGAACACAATTGGAAAATTGTCTCCACATGACATGAACGATTGCAAACACATCGCATGCTCCGTAGCTCCCAACCGCACGCAGCAGCGGCAGGCGGCGCCAGCACCCAAGCTCCCAAGTGCACACGGCAGTCTGGGGAATTATACACACAGAAAAAAGATCCCGGATAGCGGGTGTAAAGGACACGCCACTGACGGCTGTCACCACAGCGCACAACATCAGACCAGCCCACCTATATGTGCAACATCTATCAGCTGAATGCGCCCGTTTTGCCCAACACAGACGTCAAACTGCAAGATCGGAAGGACCAGCCAAAGCTGCTCAGACGACACTATGACCATTGGTGCGCAACATGATGTCATGATGTCATGCGCAATATGACAGCATGCCACTGCAGGAATGATATGATGTCGTCCCTGGCATGACATGATGTCATCCATTCTGGACGCGACATGATGTCACCGATCTGGCGCGACGTGACGTCATCCTGGCAAGACCTGATATCATCCCTGGACCAGCAGCACGGCAGCAGCACCTGCAAAACGAAACGTCGATCCAGAGCCAGCGCCTGCCCCAGCACGGAACCAGCGCCGGCAAAACAAAACGCCAATCCAGCACCAGCATCAGCGCGGCAGCAGCGCCGGCAAAAGGCAATGCCGATCCAGAGCCAGCACCTGGACCTGCGCCAGCATCAGCACCGCAGCAGCGCCTGCAAAACCAAAACGCCGATCCAGAGCCACACCATCGAGAAGCGCCCCTATAGCCTGCAGCTATCTGCGGAATTACACTGGCGTAGGCACCAGATAACAGATAGCGGGTGTATAAGTTTAAAGGATGCGCCACGGATGGCTGCCACCGCAGCAGGCAACCTAAATGCGCAACATCTATCAGCTGAATGCCACGCTTTGCCCAACGCTGCAAGATCGGCAAGGACCAGCCAAAGCGGCCCGGATGACATGACGATGTCGTCCCTGGCATGACATGATGTCTTCCTCCAATGAGATGATGTAATTCCTGGCATGACATGACGTCGCCCCTGGCGTGACATGAATGATGTCATCCCTGGCGTGACATGCAATGATGTCATCCCTGGGATGACGTGATGTCATCCCTGGCATGACAATGATGGCATTCGTGGCGTGAGATGACGACATCCCTGGCATGACATGATGTCAACCCTTGCATGACACGATGCCATCCCTGGCTTGACAATGACGTCATCCCTGGCCATGTCATGTCGTCCTTGGCATGGCATGATGTCATCCCTGGCATGACATGATGACATCCCTGGCATGACATGATGTCATCCCTGGCGTGACATGATGTCACCCCTGCCATGACATGATGTCACCTCTGGCATCTGGTATGACATGATGTCCCTGCCATGCCATGATGTCATCTGGCATGACATGATGTCTTGCCTGGCATGACATGTTTTCACCTTTTGCATGACGTGGTGTTGGCCCTCTCATGCCATGATGTCATCCCTGGATGTCGCCCCTGCCATGCCATGATGTCACCCCAGCACCTGCACCAACGCGGCAGCAGCGCTCGCAAAACGAATACGCGCAGCCACACCATTGAGAAGTTACAGCCCCTATAGCCTGCAGCTACCTGGGGAACAATTTCAATGTCTAACGGTTGTTTGTTGTCAATGAGCGGTGGTTGACAAATGGATGCATGTCTTGCGTTGTGGTATGCATAGTTTCCCTTTCGTGGATAACATGGTGTCATGCCAGGGGTGACATCACGTCATGCCAGGGATGACATGTCCTTCCAGGAATGACATTGGAGAAAAATTACACCACCATACCTCAATTGCTTTTGGCAGCAGGTGGGCACAGTAGCCCAGACTGGAGGCCAGAAGGCGGACACAGCAGCCCACGGGAGGCACATGTAAAGGCACCAGTCCAGGCTGGGAATTGCTGAGTTGACTGAACTTAGAGAATTGCCCTCAGAAGCGGTCAATTTTATAGAAATGCTACTATGGACACACTAGCAGCCCAGACCACGAGACACATGTGGGACTGCTGGCTGGACGGCTGGACAGAATAAAGGGGAGGGCATGAAACATCACGAAACCATGTCCGCACCTCCGTGATCCTCTCCTTCTCCTTCTTCAACCACGCGCAAGCCTCCCGCCAGGCCCGCTCGCCCTCCTCGGCCGTCAGGACCTCAGTCCGCTTCGTGGGAGGCCGAAGATGGCGGCTGTTGGGAAGCTTTGTGAAGAAAGTCAGATCGTCCCCAGTGACATCCATTGCACGAGTTTTTGGGTTTGCCCACAAAGAAGATCCTCGATGAGTTTTGGGCGGGTGGAGCAGGACTTAAAGGCTGTGATAAATGCTCGGATCAAAACCTTCCTTCAATCTCTGATACCCGTAGAATTGCAACATGTTGGCCAAATCAGATATGAAACCGCACATCTCTGGCCACTTTCACCCCCGAACTAAACCTTCGAAAGTCACGAGCCATCGACCCGGCTTCTCTCTGTTGCAAAGATCAACGGGGCGATGAAAAAGCTACAAAAGAACAACAAAGCTCTTTGAGGGTCGTTGTTGGGAGTTGGGATCGCTCGCTACTCATCTTCACATCTGGTGGCTTCTGGCGGCTTGGAATCGCGCCGTGGCCTCCGCATCGCCGCCCCCCGCCCCTCTGCCTCTTTCTCCCTCCGCAGTGTGCCTTGAGAGGGAACGATTTGTCAATCCATCGTCTGAAGAACTGTGTTCGCACGTGCCAGTTTGCTTTGCTCGAGCACCATCGGACCCCAGAACAAGCTTCCTGAGTGGCAGCGGCGGCAAACACCGTGGCTGAGCGTCACACATGCTGACAGAGCCAAAAATCGGCTCAAAGAACAAGGTATTTCTGGGCGGGTCACCTTCGGAGAGCCTCGATAACATCACCAAAACTTTTGCAATGGCCACATCCACAGAACCCCCCCACAACACCAAGGCACTGTGGGCGTCCAGGGTGGCTGCGGCTTTTTGGATTCAACGTATTCTTTGTAGCCAAGAGGCTGCAACCTGAGAAAAATGGGTGAAACGAAGACTGACAGAGACACCTCATTGCGCGAGAAAGTCGACAACCAGTTGGTCCATCGCAGTGACTGGAGAAAGAGTTTAAAATCTAATGTGGACTCTTGATTCTATTTCAATCCCAGGTTGTACCATCCAAAGGGGAGGAGGTGGAATTGATCACATTAGCTGCGGAGACCCCGAAGAATCTGCAAAACGACATAGCCTCATGTGTTCCTCATGCTGTTCTTCAATGGCATGACGAGCATGACTCATCTGTTTCGGCCACCCTGGTTGGACCGAGACAAGGCGTCGACCAGGATTTTCGTCTTCGCGCACTCACCAGGACATCCTGTCACTATAAAGTTGCCATCACAAAAACGCATCCAAAAAACTAGACGACGGTTGGCCAGCAGGCAGCTTACAAAAAACGCACCAAAAAAAGGAGGAAAACACATGGCCGCCGGTGGATGATGAGACTGTAAGTGGACAACCTTTCTATAGATAGAGTCCTTTCTGGGGCCCACGAACCACATCAAAGCTTGTTCAACCCATTCCTTGTTGGTGTCCACTCCAAAACTTGGCCAACTCCGACAGCGAGAAGCTCGTGCTGCTGCCAAACGGTTCTGGCTTTTGCTTCTGCTTCTTCTCGAGTCTTAAACTGTCCGGCATAGATCCTGGACCACGCACGATGCGGAGGGAACACCGTCTTTTTCCGGTCCCGTTGTCCTCTCTCTCGCTCTTTTTCGCCGGGAACCGGAAACCATTAACATCCGTTGACTCACTCGCGACTTGTTCGCTCAGCTTGTGCTCCTCTTCTTGCGAGGCACTTTCACAAGCACCTCCCAACGCTGGCTCCGTTTGTTCCACTTCACCCCAGGCACCTCACCTTGAGGCCGGCTGAAGAGATCGAGTCAGTGTGACATTGAGGCGTCGAAAGTCAAACGCGATGTTCAAATTGCACCGGAACAAACCCCAGCCAAAAGACTTTTGTGGGCAGCGCCCTCCAGCGGCGCCAGCACCCAAGGCTCCACAGCGCGTTGAAGGAGCACCCGCGGGCGGTAACCCGCAGCGGCACCAGCACCCCAAAAAAGCCCAACAGTAGCACAGCACCAGCACCCAAGCTCCAAAGCAAACGCCGACATCTGGCAGCGGCACTACAGCAGGACCGGCACCCAAAGCGCACACGCAAAAACATCTGGCAGCGGCACCCTCCAGCGGCACCCAAGCTGCAAAGCACACATACACAGGCACCTCTTCCTATTCCCAACAGCTCTCACTGTTTCAAAAGTCGCATTCTGGGTCACCAGAGCACCTGTTTTGGAAAAAAGACGAGAACCCATACAACTTTTCCGTTTTGATTGAAAGAACAAAACTGCTGGAGCTACAATAAAGATTCTTTGAGGCAGGGTCTTTTCCTTGGACGCTTTCAGAATTCCTTTCGCCACAAGCGCGTAGAAGTGCTCTTTCGCCTTTTCCAGGGCTTCCTCGTAACCTCCATGTTGCGCCACTGAGAAGGTTTTCGAGGTCCTCTTTCCTGAAGGGCTCCAACCTACTAGCGATGGCCTCCCAGCTAAAAGCGATGGCCTCCA